GGAATCAGTAGTCCACTAAATAAGTGAATCCACTCAATTATAATTTTATTAATGAATCATACTGTGGAATATGTTTCTAAATAATACTTTTTATTGTCGCGTAGCAGGCTACGATTCCTATGACCAACTGTTTTCTGGAACAAACCTAATATTTGTTTCTAGAAATGAATATTTATGGTGATAGCTAATTGCTTAACCATCAAATGTTTATCGGACCACACTTGAGAACCAAAGTAGAAGAGATAGCCTGATAGTCTTCTACAATAAAATGGCTTCCCAGAGAGACCACAAAATACTCAACTTTAGAGCCATGAAGTTATCAAGGGACACTAGTTTCATACTCTGGTACTGCTATCTTTCTGCTTGTTCCTGGCTGCATAAACAGGATAAGGTTGAGACCAACATCATCTGAAAATCTTCAGACTACAATGTTCAGTCAGACAAAACAATTTTAGCATAGGTGGGCAGGGCAGGTTCAGATCCTGGTCTTAGAAGCACCATGCCTGCAATGAACATACTAATGGGGTGGGCGCCTAGGATATAAATTTTAGTGTTTATTCAGCAATTAAACTATAATCATCCATCTAACTATACACTCAATCATACATGATGCCAAAACCAAAGATTAAAGCAAACTGGTTTGGTTCCTACGGTCTGAAAAAGAAAAGAAGCATTCTTTGATTTTTTTTTTTTGAAACAAACATTCTTTGATATTTGCAATGTGTATATATGAAATGCTTTTTGTAGCATGCTTTATGGCCTTGTCACTAGCATGTGTGAGATTGCATAAAGCCATAAACATGCATATGAGAAAATTATAGAAAAAGTTAATATATCAGTGCTAGACATTTGAGCGAACATTTGACATGCAAGTTGTTTTATTTCCTCTCAAGCCAGTGGAATTCCTGATATAAAAGGTAGCATAAATTTAGTTAAACACAAAGCAGTCTACATTGTCCAAAGAACTTATGAACTGAGCTAGATCCAATATTTATATGAATAAACTGGATGAACTCACACGAATTTGAAAGCTATACAAACTCGCTTTAGATATAACTATAATTGTAGCAAACAATGCACAAGTCAATAATTGTGAATCTAGTAATGCAGACAAGCGGGAGAAAGCGCTCTAATTCCCACATTCCCAAGTTTTTCAGCAGACTTGGATCATCGTGCATGTAAATGACTGCTAACCTTCATAATTTGTCATAGTAAAATTAAAGAGTATGTCAGATAGCACAAAGGCTTATGAATCTGCAAGTATGATGAATGCAGAAAATTAGTAAAAATACAAAGAGAGTGCTAGCTAAGAAGGGTTGTGCGTGCCTAATCAAGATCTTGCTAGGTCAAGGCTGCTGGTGAGGGAAGCACCACGCAGCAGCTCAGTGAGCAAAGAATTACTGAACCTAATTTTTAGACCGGATTAATCAATTTGCTTAACACAGTAATCCTATGAGCATACAGTCGGAGTCGCAAGGTGGACCAGCTAGGTAAATTGAAATTGCCTACAATATCTTCAAACTGAATATGAAAGGTAAATCCAAATTGGTCAATGCTAATTCATATGTTGGGAACAACACTGAGAATGGAGGCATTCCAGCTAATGAAAATCTAACATATTTCCCCACCTTCAGGCCATGGCATATCAAATTAAAATTTAGTATAGTGAGAGAGTCACCCAACTAGCAAATAATTATATATACATGGTAGTGTTGTATTGTATGTATACACAAAATGATTAGAAATATTCAGACTATAGTGGACTTTTAGAACAGTGTTATGGTCGGCAAAGTCTACCAGCGACGCAACAGAGTCAGTGGCTGAGTGGTGGACCATGACGAGGGTGTGAAGCAAGAGCGCGGTCACCAGCCCTACGGCGCAGCCACAGTTGTTAGCAGGATCCGGTCGATTAGGAAGTTGTTTTGGTGATTGTTATTCCTTAGATTTAGGCGAACTTTGTCAGACTATTGTTATAAGTTGGCATGGAGTGGACTAGAGCCCAATTCAGTAAACAGGTGGCAGTAGAACTGTTCACTTAAGTGCGGCATTTTTAGGATTAACCACAATGAGCAATAACCGGCATAAGGTCTAACTAGGAACAGAGTACACGAGGAATAAAACTTACCAAGGTGGCAAGATTGTGGCTTCTCTTGGCACTGCCCTATCAAGATCAGCCAAGAAAATCTTCATCTGATAGATGGCCAGATTGATGGTCAGCAAGTGTTGCACCACAAGTGGTTGCAGTAGTGCCCAAGTGGGATCTGCACAAAAACCAATGTACATTTTTTGCAAGTTATTGATGCAAATGCTTTGTACTTGTGCAATATATATGTACACAAAACAATATACTTTTAGCTTTGTATATATCTAATAAATGGAAGTTTACGGTACAAATGTCAAGAGTGGCAGAGAATTAAAAATTCAGTTGTGGATGGCAAATGACACAAGGCCATGTCCGATAAACCCACCTCTTGCTGCACATCGGCAATATGGAATCATATTCCACGGAAAGTTTTAAAGTTCAACACAATGTTCTGCAAATGTCAGAAACACCTTTTCAGCAAATTACTCTGTTTCATGAATCACGAGGGATGTTGAGGTTGTAGAAGAACTCCAACTATTAAACTAAGAAGTATATATTTAGCTAGAAACAATACTTATGTAAAAGGTTATGTGTGGATAAGACCTGCATGCATTTGCACAAAATTATATAAAAGATTAATTTCTAACCTTCACATTTCCGATTGTGGGGAAAGCATGCAGGCTGTGTAGCCGCTATCTAGTCCTCATATGTTATAGTTGTTCCATGTGTTAAGGGATTGCCTTGCTGTGCACAGATTGGTGTGTTTTCAGTAGATATTGATGGACTGAAATAAGAAATGTAATTTGTGCAAAAGGAAAAAAAAACTAGATGTCAGAATAGATTAAGTGGACGGGCAAGGCTTTGGCTACAATGCAAATGATCAGCTTGGTTTTGATGAGTCAATCAGAGAAACATACCCAATAGCTATCGCCATCTTTGATGTTGGGGAAGCTGGTGATTGACTGCTAGCTACTGCCAAATCCATAGGGCATGTCATGAGAGCGGCCTTTTAGACGGCAACGAGACCTTTTAAAAACAAAATTTTGAATAATATGAAATCAGACAAGTGTTCATCGAACTAAACTACTAAATTGTGATCTTCAAGTGAGAAACAAACAACATTGACCTTGCTGTTTGTGTTTGTGTTCATTAATGACGTTTTGTTTCTGATCCACTATACTCAGTGCCATCCCTTGCCTGCAATATGAACATATGGTTAATTTTTTGCATCTAACCCTGCTATCTTCCAAATGAAGTGAGTTAAGCATAAAATATAAATTATTCATAACCACTTTAGCTTGATCATAAATAAATATTGTTATGTACTACCCTTTTCTTGGATTTAATACCCGCTTTCGTGCATGCATTCAAGAAACAATCATGTCCATGCCACTTTATCAAACAACAGCATGCACTTGTATCAACCAAATGCAGGTTCCACAAAGCCCATATTGCATTATGTTAGTGCACAACAATTAAGTACAAATTAAATTGGTTACATACAAAATGAAAAGCTAGAAGTATTAACAAATTTAACAAATTACTTAATAAGTATAAGGCCCAATCGCTTTGTGATTGCTGCTGCAACCTTGTGGCTGTGCAGCAAGCTGAACCGAACAGTCACTATGATAAAATGGTAATTCTTCACTGAATTATGGACACGCTATGCGTTAGTTATCTCATGAGCATCCTAAAATAGATCTACTAATAACAAATTTGAACATGCTAGCATATGAACATATATGTGGTTTGACAAATGAATTTTTATGGTTAAGGACAAATTTGGTAATAAGTACTTGTGGGCCAAAGACAAGAACCAATATGTGGTTTAAAAAATGATTTGTTATGACTAAGAATAAATTGAGACATAAGTCTATTTATCTGACAAATGAGGAACATGTGTTCTTCGTATAATCAATTTTAATGGCAAAAGAAGATTAGGTCCAAGTACATAACACCATGTTCTTTACTAATGTGATTAAGTCTACCAAAATAGCAGTTTGAATCTCTTTTTTAAGCCTGTGAACTGAAGAGTCTAGTCATGAACTGGAAGGGAAAGTACACAAATTATTTACCTAAATAATCTAAGACAGACATGGAAAGAAAATTGTTATATCTCTATATAACTGAAAACAGAAGCCATTAGATCAACCTTGCCCCAGATTAATAGGACTGAACTCAATATACACAATTTATGAAGAGATGCTGTCAGGATGCAAGAAAACTAACCAAACATGAACTGAGATGATTTTATTGGAATTACATATATTACCATGTACCATTTTCGTGAATGAAAACAACTCATAACTGCAGTAATAAAGAAAACAAGCACATTAACAGAAGGCTTATCCTGAGGCAAAGCAAGAAGCAGTCACAAAGCATAAGGTGATGAAGATGTGGCATAGCTGCCAGATGCCGTTGGGTGTGGCCTATGGCCTTCGGCGATCTCGCCATGCCACACAACACTCACCCTGACACCACAGAGACGAGGGGGTCTTCAACTAACATGGTTGAACTAGGGGTCTTTGGATGTACCCTCACCGGATCATGCACAACATCCACCATGGATGGATCCTGGGGGGAGTAAGTTCAGTTGACGGTGTGGTTTACTCAAAAGAAAAAGAAGGCGCATATGCATAATATTATCAGCTGTAGATTGCATGATACAACAAGCCCATGAAAAAAGCTATTTGATTTAGAATCAAGAAAAAAAAAGAATTGACACATTAATTTCAGAGCTGCATTACACACGCACCTCTATAGTGAAAAACACCCAAGTATGAAATCGCTTAATTAACGTGGAGCTAGCCAAAGATTGCCACATCCATGATCATTTAATTTACAAAACATTGTAATAGAAAGAGATTGATTAATCAACTAAACTAATAGTGTAATATCAGTAGTAGATATCTTTTGCTCACAACACCTTGCATCGTCTGCAAAAAAATAAATCGAGAAAGAGAACAAAGGAGAAAGAGATTCATCATACATATTTGGTGCTTCGTTCTAACCGCCATCGATGAGCTAGTTGTGCTCCTGCTTGTCGGTTCTTTCCTACACCTGCACAAAAAATCATCAGATCTATGAGCAAAATATAACAAAATATTTGGGATTCAGATATTGCTAATTAATGGGCACCTTGCACATCAATACTCAATGGGGAGTTCATCAGAAGGATCAAACCAAGGAAGATCGGAGAGGAAGTCCGTGCAGCCACGCTTTCGATGCTCCAACCAGACCAGGGACCTGCTGGATCTGCCCTCTGCCCTGGCTTACCTGCACCGTGCGCAACATCATATGGAACAATTTAGAATAAGGAGAGTATGCACAAAGGCTTATGTGAAGCTCACAATTTCGTCCTCATGGTTGTGTTTACTGAAGAAATCCATGACACTAATACAGAACAGAACATGAAACAATCAAAATAAGAAAAGCGAATTACACTGTACAAATATGGAAGTATTTCATGTTTTCGCAAGGCTGTTCACCTTGAGCAGCTGCTTGACGTCCTTCTGCTCACCCCTTAGGTGCACTGATGTGTCATACACCACTGCTGAGCTAAGCTCAATGGACGCCGCCCAAGCTCCTGCACTGCAGGGGAAGTGAAGAAGACAAGACACGCAGAAATCAAGGCCAGTGCGACAACAAGGGCAAGAAGAGGAGCCATCGGTACCTGGGAGGCGAGGTATAGGCTGCGGAGAGGGTAGAGCGTGAAGCCGTCGGAGACCAGGCGGCAAAGGAGGCTGTCTGACGTTGCCGTCGCCGAAGGACATGAGGGGAGGTGCGACATGGCCGGATCTGCTTTGGAGGGGCACGCCAGCGCCGCCACCGGTGGGGGAGAGGACGACGTCGCAGCTGTGGGTCGGGGAAGCGGCGGGGCCGCGCCGCCGTGGATCGGGAAAGCGGAGGGGCCGCGCCGCCGCGGATCGGAGAAAGGGCGGGGGCCACGCCGTCGGGGAAGGGACGGGCCGCGCTGCCGCTGGTGATGGAAGAGACGGGCCGCCGTCGGTGCCTACGCCTCCCCTGCGCGAGGCCGAATGGCACACTGGGGAAAGGCGGCCGAGAACGCCCGGCCAGGCGGCGCATGCGGACGCACGGCGCTGTGCGGGCGGCACGGTGGAGGCAGCGGCGAAACAGCGGTGGTATGGAGAGGGGTCGGACGGGCGGTGCCGGCGGAGAGAGGGAAAGAGGAGACCGAGCGGATTGTGTGGGGGAATAGAAACCGCAAGTCCGTAAAAAAAGAATCGTGTGTGGGTGGGGAGCGTCGGAGCAGCATACCAGCTCGAGCTCGTGGGTGAACCGGCGCGGGGAGCGCCCGTGGTCAGCCCGGTCCGAGGTGGGAGCGGGGGAATCCGCGCGGGAAACGCCCGACGCTCGGGGTCGGTGATTCGGACTCGGGTACTGAACATTAATCAGTACCCAAGGTAATATATATATATATATATATATATATATATATATATATATATATATATATATATATATATATATATATATATATATCGTGCTGTGATGTTTGAAAATGGTCATGATCGAGAGCTTAGAAATGACACATTCGGTGATGCCACACGCACAGCCTGCAGCTGTGCCTCCTCTGTACTGTCTGTGTGCCGTTGGGCGCGGACACGTGTACGTCCTCCGGCTGCATGCAATGCATGCATCGCGCGGGAAACCATTTTATTTCAACATGCATCGTGTGGGCCGTGCATGGGCTGCTCCCTTGTTTGATGAACACGTAAGTACAGACCGTATTGGTTAAACGGCAAGTGTGCATATATTTATGCACACGGCCGGATAATGTATAAACAGATCGAGCAACTTGCTGATGCACAACTGCTGCTAGTCCCGTTTCTTTGGGCAGGTCCAGGTTAAAAGCATGCATATGCATGCATGGATCTCGATACCCATGCATGGATTGTTGGCGCCCTTGCATGCTTGACTATTGGAGGAGTTCATGCTTGCGCACAACATGTACAGTACGCGGCAAAATATGTGTATATAGCATATAAGTACAGAGTTCAATTCGTAGATAATAAATAATCCTGCCTGTTTTTGTTTTATTAGGCCGTAGGAACCACGAATCTGTTTGATGCAGGATGCTACACACAATACACTGAAGACATCATAACTGGTAATAAGGACTTTTACAGCACACTCAGAAGTAATTAATACAGGCAACTAATCCCTTCTGCCAGATGATTTCGATCGCTGAAATACATATGGTATACGATGCATGTATATATGAATACGAGTGACTAACAATTGATAGATTCTAGAATCTAGATCCACAATCGCGCGCTTGCACCAAGCGACTAGTCGCGATTGATGTGGTATGAAGGTGAAAGGGACAACAAGGCAGGCTTGATGAAGGTTCATGATTGTGAGAGGTGGGGAATGGGTCAATGGGAGAGGGTATAGTTGTCGAAATGTCACACACTAGAAGGCGCCTTACCATGCATGCACTATAATAATTTCCCTTCTCTGTGAAACTAGTTGGAAATACTGCTTTTAGCAGTTCTACCCAAGGTTTTTAATTTCGGTATCGCCAAAATTTCGGCCACCACCGAAATTACCGAATTTCGCAAATTTCGGCCGAAATTTCGCCGAATTTTTTTTAGAGATTAGCACATGAAGTATGTTTTTTCTAAAAAAATTTGGATCTAAACAAATATTACTATGATTTATGACTACATATTTATTAAATAGAAGAATATGCAATATAAACAATAGAAAAATATAAGATTAGAGTTATATAGCACATGTATTAGTGTATTAAAAAATTTCGGAGTTTTCTTGAGCAAATTACCGAATTTAAATGAAATTATATTCATGAAATTTTGAACCCTGTTCTACCACTAACTCACTTTTGAGCATCCACGTTATATATTCTCGCATGACACACCATAAAAATAGAGAAACCCTAGGGATTCCTAAAAAGAAAAGCAAAACATGTGACCATTGATTCAATCATTGCTGACAATAACATCGACCGTATCTAATAGGCCTCGTTCGGCTGGTCTCAAACTTGGCTTGTTCGGCTTCTTTTTTCAGCCGGAACAGTATTTTTCTCTCACAACATTTTAGCAAGAACAATGTTTTTCAGCCAGTTTCAGTCAAATTTCAGACCAGCGAACGGGGCCAAATTTGTTTCTAATTTATCCGTGAGGAGTGTCACAATGAAATAGAACCTAAAGTAATTAATCCCTTAGAACTACATCTAAATTACCCATATTTGCTCATTATTAAAACAAATAACCCAAAGTAGACTCATTATTCTTCCTTTGCCAATGGATACTAGCTAGATACTCCTATAAAATAATACTAAAGTATTAGGACTGTATGAAAAAAACTAACTCAATAAATGTATTTGTATATGTATGTATTTTCAAAATAATAATTGCGTCTCTTAAAATTGCTAGCCTGTATAGAAGCATGGCCAGGGTTGATGAGCTACTTTTATATACGCAAATCTTAACCATGACCGCCTTTTATTATTGGGTAGTATATAGTGAAATCATCATTGTCTACTCAGCTCATTAAAAATAACTTAGTAATCTCAACACGATTTTTTTAAAAGAAACTTGATCCTCCAAAATATTGGGGGAGCATAGCAGTGTCTCAACTCAAAATATTTAAACTTGAGTCTTCCCAAAAGTCCTACGGGATAGATACGCGTATCATCACCAAATTTCTTCTCTGAATTATTTGACACTTAATTTTTTTCTCTCATTTACCAATCGATGGTGCCCATATCTCTGGATCCATCTATTCTCTAGCTTTTTTTCTATGCCATGCCCACACTATACTCTCCCTCCGTCCCAGAAAAGTTACAATTACTAAGTCAACCAATATGAAATTTGACAAAGTTTATATAGAAAAGAAACCCAACCTTTTATCATGCTAAATAAGTGTCATTAGGTCGGCCATAAAAATTATATTATCATAGTTTACCACTATTTGAGTCATACATATGTTAATACTATTTTTCAAGAAACTTGGTCAAACTTACGCTAGCTTATTAACTTCAATAATTGAACCTAAAATTTGCATCTTGTTTTAGTATATATAGACCAAAACATACAAAAATTCGCCTGGAAAACTGGCGCGGCAGCAAGCACGCGGTGCGCCCCGCGAGGCAGACACCGGTGCATGGAAGTCGTGTGCGGGCTTCAGGTATAGGTCGGGTGCATACTAACGTGGCACCTATGTAATACCCCAGGCCCTGCACACGGCACAGGCCCACTCTACCAAGGGGTGGGCCCCACCTACGTAACAACCCGTTTGTGCTTTCGTCCTCGCTTCACGCAAAACAGTTAATCAAAGGTTACTACGCGTCCTTGGCCTAGCTATTTAAGTCCGTCTAGCCATCCTAGGATTCACAGTTTTGGGACTAAAATCTGGCTTGCACAGTGTTCGTGATGCTACAGTACTCACGTGAGCTGTGATTGAGCAACAGTGCTGTGCCGAAACAGTACCCCTTTTGGCCCGGCCCACCTTGGCGCTACCGTGCCCGCAGCAACAGTCTCGGACCATAGCCTCGTGCAGTTAGGGTGCCTCGGCCCAACCAGAATTCGGCCTAGGATGTTACAACCTGGCACACACGGGCGACAGTACGCCTGCTTGCATGCATTGCGAGCTACTGGCAGCTAACCTGGGCAGCTGACTCGTCCAGAGAGAATCGACTGTCGCTCACTGATTCGCGTACTACTCTGTTCACATGTCACATGTACGTACAGAACTAATGCATTTGTAGAAGGTCCCAAGATAGAAGCATATATGTATGTATATATATCATCGATCGATCTCTTTGGTGGTACGTAAACTCGTACGTGGACTGAAGACCAGTTTGATTATCTTGGCAAAAGCGTCCTCGAAGGAGGCAAAGATTCGACACGTTACCCCCTTCGGGCTACTTGGTACAACTCGATCGCCTAGCTGCGCTAGCTTGCGACGATGTCTCTAGAGAAAGCTCATATATATATACTAGTAACACAATGGTAGAGGTGACACGTAATCCATCGGTCGCTTAGTTAGTTGCCTTGCTACGTGTGTGCTTTACTTAATTAAACCGGGCAGCAGCAGCTAGCTATAGTACCCTTGTTGGCCAGCTTATCGACCTTGCAAGTGCTAGATTAATTACTAGCTAGTCTATACTAGATTGCACTCTCACACGCAAATCATGAAGGTGTAGTTAGATTATAAATTCTGGGTTCGTACTATTGCCACTGTTGTTTTTTGCAATGTTATAGTAGATTCGTACCACTGCCACTATTGCTCCCCCCGCCCGAAAGTAAGGCCTGGTTTAGTTTTAGACCAAAGTTTTGAGGTGTCACATCATGTGTTACATGAGGTGTCGCAGGAGGTGTTCGTATACTAATAAAAAAACAAATTACAGAACCCGTCAGTAAACCGCGAGATGAATTTATTAAGTCTAATTAATCCATCATTAGCATATGTGTACTATAGCACTTTATTGTCAAATTATGGACTAATTAGGCTTAAAAGATTCATCTCGTAGAGTAGTCACAATCTGTGCAATCAGTTATTTTTTTAGTCTATATTTAATACTACATATATGTGTCCACACATTCGACGGGATATAATGTAAATTTTTTGGGGAGGAACTAAACAAGGCCTAGAAAACCATTGCAAGATATTTCTATAGCTAGGAAGTAGCATATGCATTCTAGCTAGGCCAATATAAAGTTATAGGCTCCGTTTGGTAGAGATTCTTACCTAGCTCTTGAATCTGTTTTTCGGCTCCAGCTGCCAA